CCCCAAGTAGAAAGTCCTCCCGGGAGTTAAGAACCTTCTACATATGTTAACTTTGTATCAAAACATAGGGTGAACAGAGTGGCTTCAAACCTAACCGGCTGGTGGAAGAAAGGGAGGAGCAAGAAGAAGTGCCCAATCGCTGATACCCATACCCGTTTGGCTCAGTGGTAGAACGTCGGTCTGACTGAAAGATCCGGCTCGATTCCGGTTGGGAAGCCATGTGCATTGGTTGTGGGCGCGTCCTCAGTGGGGGGTGTGCAGGAGGCAGCTGGTCAATGTTTCTCTCTCATGGACGTTTCTAGCTCTCTATCTCTCTCCCTTCCTCTCTGTAAAAATCAGTGGAATATATTTCTTTTTTAAAAGTGCCCAATGGAAGCGATGCAGTAAACAGCGTTGGTGCAGACGCATCTCTGGTGGGTTACTGGTTTAGTCTAAGCCCTTTCATGTAAAACCCACGAAGCACGGAAAATATGCTAAAAACACAAAATTTCAACCGCAATAATGAAGAGATTTCCTAGAATAAAATGCTGATTGCAAAACGAAATCGGAGAAAACCAAGCATCCTGAAGTTTACTCTCCCCTGCTCATGAGCAGAGGTGGTCCTTTGGGTTTGGAGCCGGTAAGGAACTGCCAGTCCAGTCAGGGACAGTCGCCAAAGGGGAGGAAGAGCACCGGTTCGCAGAGGGGATCAGCTGCATTGAGACTGTGTATCTCTGGGTAACCAAGGAGCGCCTGAGGCTGATCCATACTCATTTTAAGGACCCATACCTTTTCTTCCATAAGAAAAAGAAATCAAGGTGTTTTTTGTGTTTTTGTTTGTTTGTTTTTTGTAAAGCAGTGAGGATCATTTGGGAAGATCTCAGGAACATAAGAAGGGACTCAAAGCCCTAGCTGGTTTGGTTTAGTGACTAGAGCATTGGCCTATGAACCCGGATTGAAGGATCTAGGGTTCCATTCCAATCAAGGGCATATACAGGGTTTGGGGCTGATTCCCAGTAGGGGGTGTGCAGGAGGCAGCCAACCAATGATTCTCTCTCATCTTTGATGTTTCTATTTCTCCCTCTTCCTTCCTCTCTCTCTAAAAATCAATAAAAAAATTTTTTTTAAAAAGAAGGGACTCAGAGAGGGAAGCATTCTAAGCAAGGATGCTTTGTCTCTGTCCAGAGACAAACAGGACTTCCCTTTAAACCATCTGCTAAACAGAAATTCTTGCCAGGGATAAAGAATTAGACAAAATTTGTTACCACATGCATTCTTACCCAGGAGGTTTGTATTAAAACAAAGTTCAGATAGATTTTGCTGTGATGTAGTGGAAGCAGAATGGGAGTGGACAACTGGACCCCAAGCGCTACAAGTTCCTTTGTCACTTGCTCAGGTATGACTTTCAGGTAATCAGCTGGTCTTTCTAAGCCTCAGTTTTCTTACCTCTAAAGGCAGGATGAAGATCACGTGCCAGTAGAAAAGCATGTATCTGTGAAGTCTATAAGGAACAAAACAGGGGTATAATCTTTGTAGATGTAGGGGTCTCTGCCAGGGGCACAGTTTTCATAGACAGAAATGGGATCTCTAAGAAAGTTTTGGCTAAGAGCCCTTTCCTGCTTAGAAGATCATCAATCTTTTTATCTTTTTGGAGTGCCGGGCAATATTGAGACCCCCCTAAAAAGAGAAAGGCTCTAAGTCAGCTGACCTGCTCCTGGCTGGGGCTCTCACTGCTCTGCCATCCATTGCCCTTCCAGAACTTGTCTAGCATCCTGTAATATTCAGCAAACTAGACGTGGCATTTCTTGAAAGTTTAGAGAAATGGATACCACTGTCTCTTGAATGAGGAAGTGAGCCTTCAAAAATCCCTGATAATTTACCCAGCTGAATTGGTAGAAACTAACTGTGGAGAGCAGGTGTTTGTTTGTTCGTATGTTTTTAAAGAGTATCTGTGGATCCCCTAACACTACTGGCAAAATAGAAGTATTCTGAGAGTAGGCTCCAAAGTTTCCATCATATTTTCAAAAAGACTCATGACCCCCAAACTGGTATTAAAGGTTATTCCAAGCCCTGACTGGATTTTAGGTTTGGTGCTATTTATTCTTCAGTCTCTAGGTCTTAAAACCTTTTAGGGCCTAATAGCCAAAGTACATAGGATCCTCCAAGTACAGAAAATCAGGGAGAGTCTAGTGACAGTGATATTCACTTGCTGAATTTTCCCCAAAATCTATTGTCCACCATCCCATCTACAAATGAAATAATTGCCCTTTTTCTTTCTAGGCTTCTGGCCAATTTTCTTCCTAACACACACACACACACACACACACACACACACACACACAGAGAGAGAGAGAGAGAGAGAGAGAGAGAGATGCTCCTTTAATATTATAAGTCCTGCCTCCACTTTCTATTTGATTTATTTTTCAGTTACTTAAAGCATTGATTTAGTGAACAAACTATATTTACTTCTATATTTAATTACTTATATTTAAATTATTCCATGCAAAATGACAAAAAGAAAAGAGGAAAAAGTTATAAAATAAATAGGGACCCATCCCTAAAAAAATAAACAAAACAAACACACATAAAAACTGCTTTCCAGTCACTCAGAAAGAAATTCTTAGAAGTAGAAACTACTGCAAACCCCTACCCCAATTCAATCAAAACATCCCATCCGGAAAAGAATGGCTTGTTTCTTTTTTCTATTGGAAATGGGTGGTAAACTGAGTTCATTTTGGCCATGTTTTCTTAGCTGACTCTGGGCTACAATCAAGCCATTTTCGGACACATTCCCATGTAGGTACCAGGGGTGCTCTGGAGGAAGCTGTCGACGCCTGTTCAACTAATTTAGGTTTTCTTTGTCTAATTACTGTGGAGCTTAGGGAAAAGGAGCCCGGCTCAAGGCAGTAAACTGACACTCAGTCTCTGTGTGTGGTATCCAGGCAGGGTTTGATGGAAAAAGCCTGCTTCCACTCAACTTCAGGTCACTGTCTGGGGCCAGACCAGCCTAACCCCCAGCCTCCCCCTCCCGCCCTTCCCTCTCTTCTTTTCTGCAGCCCCACCGGCACTCGCAGCCAGGAGCATCCCCCAGGCACTGCAGGGGCACAGATAGCTAATGCCAGCCCCAAGAGGCCTGGTTTGGTTCTGTTCTACCCAAGGCTCTTTGCTGCCCACCATTCACAGGATCTCAACACAACCACCACCCCCCCACCCCCCACCTTCTCCTGACCTAACATTTTCCCAGGTTTCCCAGCACTAAGGCAAAGAACCAGAGTGGAGGCAGAGATGTGCCCAGTACTGCCTCCCAAGTGGTCCTCTGCAGTACCTCCCCTCTCAGCCTCCCCCATCAGCCCTTGTGCACCGGCCAGTTCCCAGGCCCACTGCTCTCCACCTCCCATGCCCAGGCCCTATTCCTGGTCAGACTTCATTTCCTTGAACATGCAACCCAATAACTAACTGTCCAGTATCACTGGAAGTAATTCCTCCAAGGACACAACTTCTCTCCCAGGCAGACTCTTACTCAGAGAGAAAGTAGCCACACTGTGGTGGTGTATTCTCCCAGAAAACATACCTTCCCCATAATTTTGTTGGTGGATAACCTGAGACTGATAATGTAAATTTAGTTGCAGTAACACATCCCTTTCTGGACGGAATATAAATACAGCTATCTCGTCTATCTCACTCAGCACCAGCCTTTTTGCATTTGTTTTTTACAAAGCATCAAGTGAAAAACACAAAGGAAGTGCAAACAAATGCAAAATGAGTCCTATTCGACCTGACTTCCAGCTTCTCTAAAGTTTTTTCTATCTAAATCCTTCTTCTCAAAGTTCAACAAATGCTCGTGATTGCCCCAAGCCATAACCCTGGGGCGATAGGGCTCCCAGGCTCCTCGCCCCCGTCCTCCACTAACAATTGTGAAGCCGGCAGGTCCTGTCTGAAGAAGAGAGGACTGGCACGTTACCTTGGACTTCTGGCACCGCACCCTGGCGTGCTGAGTGCTGCAGTGTCTGAAAGAAGTTGATAGATGGTGTCAGTGCGGGCACCGGAAGAAGACAGCTAAGGAGGCTCCCAGCGGCGGGCGGCGGCACCAGCGGCCGCGCTACTCGGCCGGGGACCAGCGAAGAGGAAGAGGAGGAGGAGCGGGAGGGGGCAGAGTAACGAGAAAGGGGAGGGTGGGGGAAAGGAGGAGAAGGGGAGGAGGAAGGAGAGGAGAGGTAGGTCCAATTCACTAGAATCAGCTAGTGTCTGGGATAAACGGCCAGGGTGCTGTAATGGGCAAAAGGAATATTTCTAAAAATCATAGGTGATCGAGGTTTGCTTGGGGTGGGGGTAGTCCTAGCAAAAGGGAGAATAGTCTGTGATCGCCTCCTTTTAAAGAAAGTGTGTGGGGAAGAGGGAAAGAGGCCGAGAGGAATTCAAAGACCGAGTGGGACCCGGTAAGGCCAGGAAGGAGATAAGAGAGGAACCGGGCCGCCAGGTTGGAAGTGGGGGGGGGGGGGGGGTGTGAGGGCCTAGGAGAGCGTGCCCTCCCCCAGGCGGCGGCGCGAGGAGGGGACAGGGCGGGGTAGGGGTGGAGGGAGGAAAAGAGGGAGGGAGAGAGGGAGGGAGGGCTGCCGTGGGGAGCGGCAGGAGGGAGGAAGTCTAAGAGACAGAGCGAGGAGCGCTCCTGAAGGGAGGCATCGGGTTCATCCCCCGGGTCCCCGCCACAGTCCCTGCTCGCGGGCTCAGCTGCCTGGCGCCCGGCTACTTCGGTTCTGCAGCCCGGCGGGCCCTTGCGCAAGGCAGGGCTCGGGGCTGGGGAGTGATGCACCGGGCGTTGCCTCAGGCCCGCCGCCGCGGCTGCCAGGAGCCCCAGCTGAGCTGAGGGAGTCGCCACCGAAGCGCTGGCTCGGAGCGGTCACGGCTACAGCCCGGGTGGCGGGCTAGGGCGCTCGCCGGACTTCTGGGCCACCCCGGCTCCGGCGCCTCCGCTCCCGGGCCCGGGCCCGCCCCCGCGGCCCGGCCTCTCTCCGGGGTCCCAGATGACCACCGAGGGCGGCCCGCCGCCGCCCCCGCCGCGCCCGCCGCCGGCTCCGCTCCGCCGCGCCTGCAGCCCGGCCCCCGGCGCGCTCCAGGCCGCCTTGATGAGTCCGCCGTCCGCAGCCGCCTCCTCAGAGACCACCTCGTCGTCGTCGTCCTCCGCCGCCTCCTGCTCTTCCTCCTCTTCCTCCGCCTCCAACCGCGCCAGCGCCTCCGCGGCTGCCTGCAAGAGCGCGAGCGGCGGCGCGGGCGCCGGGAGCGGGGTCTCCAAGAAGGCGAGCTCCGGGCTGCGGCGGCCGGAGAAGCCGCCCTACTCGTACATCGCGCTCATCGTCATGGCCATCCAGAGCTCGCCCAGCAAGCGCCTGACTCTGAGCGAGATCTATCAGTTCCTGCAGGCGCGCTTCCCCTTCTTCCGCGGCGCCTACCAGGGCTGGAAGAACTCGGTGCGCCACAACCTCTCGCTCAACGAGTGCTTCATCAAGCTGCCCAAGGGCCTGGGGCGGCCCGGCAAGGGCCACTACTGGACCATCGACCCCGCCAGCGAGTTCATGTTTGAGGAGGGCTCGTTCCGCCGCCGGCCGCGCGGCTTCAGGCGGAAGTGCCAGGCGCTCAAGCCCATGTACCACCGCGTGGTAAGTGGCTTGGGCTTCGGGGCCTCGCTGCTGCCCCAGAGTTTCGACTTTCAGGCACCCCCGTCTGCGCCGCTCGGCTGCCACGGACAAGGCGGTTACGGCGGCCTCGACATGATGCCCGGGGGCTACGACGCTAGCGCGGGGGCGCCCGGCCACGCACACCCGCACCACCACCACCACCACCACGTCCCGCACATGTCACCCAACCCAGGCACCACCTACATGGCCAGCTGCCCTGTGCCCGCCGGGCCTGGGGGTGTAGGCACGGCCGGGGGCAGCGGCGGCGGCGGGGACTACGGCCCGGACAGCAGCAGCAGCCCCGTGCCTTCGTCCCCTGCCCTGGCGAGCGCCATCGAGTGCCACTCGCCCTACACGAGCCCAGGGGCGCACTGGGGCTCTCCTGGAGCCTCGCCTTACCTCAAGCAGCCTGCCGCCCTGACTCCCAGCAGCAACCCCGCGGCCTCGGCAGGCTTGCACTCCAGCATGTCCTCCTACTCGCTGGAGCAGAGCTACCTGCACCAGAACGCCCGCGAAGAGCTGTCAGGTAATGGATTGCGCCCGCTGGGGGCGTCGCCTCTAGGCCTCCGGGCTCCGAGGCTATTGCAATTTGCAGAGGAGCCCGGCAGCCTGGGGGCACTGAAGGCGCTGGGGGAAGTTGATGCGGGGGAAGCTGGCACTTTATTCTTGGAGAGGGAGAGGATTAGGTTCCTGCCGACCTCCCCAATACCCTTGGCCCAGAGTTGGGGCTCTAGAATTTTCATTCCTGGGAGGATGGTGCAAAGCCAACAGCCTAGGTTCTCTGGTGACCTTATGCATCTCAAGTCTCAGGCTTGACTTAGCTTAGAGAGAAAGCATGTGGTTTTGGAGGACTTTGGCCAAGGAGCTGTATCTGCTTCCTCTTGTCATTGGTAAATTTTGTTTGGTTGTATTTTCGCCCAACAGTAAATATCAGAAGGACAGTTCTGTAACCTGAGAGTGTAGGTTGAGAAGAGTTGCAACTGAGCAGGTGTTGCAAGGAAGAGGACAGAGAGGAAAGCAGCGGGGTGCCAGGATCTTTCACAGGCTGTTGAGTCTCCAGCCTCCCCACACAGACTGAATCGCTTGGCACACCTTGGTGACACTTAGGTCTGTCTTAGGGTCAGCAGGACCTGAGGTCCACATTATGACTCCCCTAAGAAATGCCTGCCTCTTGGACACCACTTGTGTTGCTGATGTAGATTGTGTTGGTCAAGGAATATGAAAATTTATTGACTTGCTAAAATGGTCAGTGGGAGGGGACAGATAGGATGGAGAAGAACTTTGAATATTTAGCCAGGTTTATCAAGAAACTGGAGATAAACTCTCTTATATTAACCTCCCCTGGGGCACTGGGCTGCAGATTAAAATCGGGCTGGGCTGCCCATCAACTGGTGCTCTGGTTTACATTTGCCTCCCCTACCCCCAATTAGAAAATGAAAGGAAGGATAATGCATACGTTATATGTTCTTGAATTGTGTGCCATTAGAGCATCAGGGGAGAAGGGAAGCCCAGAAATGGGCAAAACATGTTGGTTCCCTGAATGGTGAAATTTCCCAAATAGGCCTTTTAAATGCGGGTCTCAGAGGTTAACTAAACAAAGACAGTCTCGGCAGGACCACACCGGAGAGGATTTTAGCCTGACTTAACCCACTGAAAGCAGAGTCTTGTTCAATTTTATGGGAATTTCTACAAGTAACCAATACAGACAACCCCCCCTCCCACCCGCTCTTATTTTTTTAATCCCCGCGGACTGGCTGTCAATCACCGCCCACCCCGGGTTGTTCACTGGGGTCCTGGCAGGGCCTACCCAACCTGAACTCAGGCAATGAGGCTTCGCAGCCGCAGAGAAGAAGTACCTTAAAAATAAAACAAAAACACTCAGGAAAGAGACTTCTGATCTTTCTGAGTGGCCATCCTCTCCCACCCCACACACAGGGGGCACCCAGAGGCCCCAAGAAATGTGGGAGCAGGGAACACATCTCTGTCTTGGTGAGAACAGAGAACGGAGCAAGCGGGCCTCGCCTACCCCGGGAGCCTCCTAGGACCTCTATGAATGCCAGGGAGGCCATGGCTCGGCCCAAGCCAGAACCGGACGCTCTGCACCTTCCTCCCTGGCCTCTGGCTCTCATACCTCTGGACTATTACCCGCTGCCCCAGTGCTTGTTAGCATCTCTAAGGCGGCAGTGCGCGGCGGCCTGCGGCCTTCGGGTTGGGAGTGTGCCGCCTTACCCGCGGCGGCGGCCTACTGAGAGTCAGGCCAAGCGCGGAGCAGCGGGAAGGTCAAGAAAGGCCAAAGCTGTGGGGCCCAAGCGCACCCTGACCCCAGCCCCGCGCGCGCGCGCGCGCGCACACACACACACACACACACACACACACACACAGCATGATCTCCCCAGCACACACACGCAGGGCGCGCCCTCCCTCTGGGGATAGGGCGGCCAAAGCCCGTGTGCTCAGAGGCTCTGCACTCTTTCTTAAATCCTTTGAGCCTTTCTGAAAGGATTGGGGGCTTTTATAATACCTCCCATCACCTGAAAGCGCCGGCCGCGTTCTTGCCCAGAGGTGTGAGCACTCAAGGGTTCAGCTAGGGCCAGCGCTGCTCCGAGCTCTAACTTGAAGGGCGAGCGCACCTGTGTGCGGAGCCATGCGCGCACATTGGGGACGTGGTCGCTGCTGTCAGAGCACAATAGCGCATGTTTGGCAACATTAGGTGTCACCGGGCAATAGCATAGGCCGAGTTGCCAGCTCTTTAGCAACCTGGCTTCTCATAGAGCTGGGATGCAGCCAGGCCCAGGCGATGCGAGCAGGGCACACGCTCAACAGGCGACAGTTTGATTTTCAAGAAAGCAAAACCGGAATCAGGTCTAGCACCAATGTGCACCTTACAGTTCCCACACTGCATGGGTGATTAGAAAGGCTCTGGCCAACAGGCTTAATCCAACTTGGCCCAGAGACAGGCTCGTACGAGAGGAACCCAAGACCCAGCTCTAGACTGACACCCCTGGCCCATTGCACCCAAAGCTCTCACGCAAGGAGAAAGCAAAAGTAAAGGGCGGCGGCTGGTTGGCGCCCAGTGGCTTCGGTCTTGGACAAGGAGCAACCCCGGGGAAGAGTAGTGCAGGCCTTCCCTGTCCTCTCTGAGGGCCTCCCCGCACTGCTAGAAGCCTGGGTAGCCGGGTCTCCAGCTGAGCTCTTATGGAAGGTCTTTCTCTTCCTGGAGTGTTGGCTTTCTAGAGGAAGTATAAGGCGTTCAGGACCTAGGAAGACAAAGATGTATGCTTTCTTTTCCCAGCCTTTCTTTAGCGCTGGGTTGTTTTCTGTCCCTCCTTCAGGCACAGGAAATATCCCTGCTGTGGCCTGCTTTTCTGACCGGGCCAGTTGGTTGGGAAACAAAACGTGAGGGCGACACTAATGTTTCTGGTGTGGGGGGTTGGGTTCTGGAAGAAGCCCCGTGCTCAGAGACCTACAACAAGAGACTGGGTCAGATTGTCCCAGTGTCCCTGCTCCTGTGAGTGAATCACAGACTCCAGGACTAAAAGGGGAATTTAGGCACAGAACCTGGTGTAGCCCTGGCCCCTGTGGCTCAGTTGTTTACAGCACCCTCCCATGCACTGAAAGGTTGCCAGGCACTTACCTAGCTTTCCGGATTGCAGTTGGACCCCCAGTGGGAGCCTATACAGAGGCAACTGATGGATCTCTCTCTCTCTCTCTCTCTCTCTCTCTCTCTCTCTCTCTTTCATCCCCTCTCAGATGATGATTTTTTTAAAAGAGAGAGAGCCTGATTTATAGGGGGAACAGGCACTCTGTGGCTCTGTATTTGTGGGTACATCAAAACAAAACTTAATGGTTCCAGAATTGTCCTATGACCTATCGTTTAAAACTTTGAGAAACTGCCAGAGCCAAGTTTTCTCTACCAGTTTTATGGAATATACCTTAATAAGATTCCAATTAAGTTACCAATTAAAATATCAATTAAGTTAAAATTTGAAAGTTAACAGGCTCCAGCCTCACCTGGGCAAATTTGTTTCTGAAAAGAGTTTTTATTTTCTTTCTTCTTTCAGTGGGACTGCCTCGGTACCAGCATCACTCTACCCCAGTGTGTGACAGAAAAGATTTCGTCCTCAACTTCAACGGCATTTCTTCTTTCCATCCCTCTGCTAGTGGGCCATATTATCACCACCACCATCACCAGAGCGTCTGTCAGGATATTAAGCCCTGTGTCATGTGAATGGAGGGAGGCAGGCCATGTCAAAGCCACTTTCTCCTTGGGGAGAGAAGTGGGGAGAGGAGGACTGAGGTGGACTCACATAAAGTGCACCCATAGCTGTAAGTAGCACACCATTCACTTAGAATCCCCAGGCCTGTGTGTTCACTGACACTTACCTACCATTGGTAGAAGGACAAGCCCTGGCATGGTAATGTCCTAAATGTATGCAGGCTCTAACGAGGGGAAGAGCTGAGAGCTTACTAAGCCAAGATGGTAAAAAGTTACCACATGAAAAACATAAGCATGTAACTCTGGGATCTTCATTACCTTCAGAAATCAGGGTCTGAAAAATGCAGACAAGTTGTCTGTGTGTTTTTCTTTGTCTATAAAAATGTATGTGCTTTTCAAAAAGGCAGTGCTAAATACAAGATTTCAAGAAAGCTGCATCTCATTGCCTACCTAAGGAAGGAGTTCTGTTTCGCTGAACACTACCTTTGGATATAGATGCCAAAGAACAGTATTAAGAAAGTATTTAGAAGCGATGCGTCTAGTTTAAGAACATGGTTTTCAGTATTGTGACAATACAACGTTTTTTACAAGGTTATTTTTTACCATGGTATTTTAAAGATTTTTATCTCATGTATACTCACACTTGTATTTTAAAAGGAGGATATATTTGCACTTATGTATACTTTTACAGTTTGCCAAACTATTTTGATGTAAAATGTTTTCAATAAAATGTATGTAACAAACAGTCATTTTAGGGAACTATTTCCTCCAGACATCCTGAAATCACCAGGTTGTCTCCACCAGCCAGCAATGCAACTCTACACTTCTCCCCCCCAAGGTGTGTAATTGACATGGTGTGGGGTCTGCACCTTGAGTAACAAAGGCCAGATTCTGATTGTGGGTCTTCTCAGAAGAGAAAGAGAAGAAGGAATCTTTTCTTTTCTTCCTGTCTCTGTCTCTCTCTCTCTCTCTCTCTCTCTCTCTCTCTCTTTCCTTCACCCTAGCTCTTTCTGACTAAACAAAAACCAGAAGTTGAAAGGAAGTTAAAAGAAAACTAGGCAAGATAATGAAAGGCAAGAGCTTGCTGGATTTGAAGCAATGAAGTGCCCCTTTTGTTCTCTTTCCTGTGCTCGGAGAATTCGCCTTTTGCTCTTTCCTTTTACCTACCAGCATGGAGTGACAGGCCAGGCTGAACAGCCAGCAATGATTAGGTACCAAAAAACACGACCTGCTTCCCCTTTTCAAGCCAAAGGTTTGAGTGGATTCGGAGCCCACTTTGTTAGCAGTTGGTGGTCAGATCCTAAAGAGCCCAGAGGGGGAAGGCAGTGGCAGAACCTGGCTCTTACAAGATGTTCTGCACCAGCTCTTTGTCTCCACCCTTCAATGCAGAGCCTTGCTCACCCTGCTTAGCTTTGGCACCCACTAACCTACACTCTTCTCTCCTTTGTGCCCTATACTTCCTCCTTCCTTTCCACAAGGGATTTGATGTTTTCCCTTGGGGATTCCCTCATAGTCCTTTTACTTTCTTACGTAGCCTCCCAATGCTAAGGGCAAGGCTGTAAAGCTATGAATGACAAAGAGAGAAAAAGGGCCCACTCAGCAGGCAGACTTGTTCTTACTCAGCCCACCTCATCTGGACTGACCAGCCCTTCAAACTCCAGGCAGTGGTGGTGGTGGGGAAGGTAGAGCTGAGCAAGCGTCTCCCACAGTCACTCTTTGGGTTTCCTCTACAACACGGGGCTGGGTTTTTGTTTTGTTTTTGCTTTCGTTTTTGAAAACTCTCCTTTGTCCCTGATTCTCTAAGAGGTCTTTCTCTCAAACAATTACCAGGCATTTAATACCGTTCAGTAGATATCCGCACACAGATTTTTATATTCCAAGTGAATTTCAAGCCAAAGAGTCTCCCTAGTCAAACCTCTTGTCTTAAAAAGGCTTTACTATCTTCCTAATCCTTATGCTTTTTTTCTGTATTTCACAAAATTAAGCAGTGTCTTAAGCTTTTTTGTGTGTCTCCATTATCATATTTGCAGTTAAATAGAGCTTTTTTCCTTTTATACTGAGCTACTCAGGGCCTGCTATAAATTATGAAGTCAGTTTCAGAGTTTGCTCCGACCACAGTGCTGTGTTTACATTCCTTCCGAGGCTGCCGGCATGGTCGTAATTTATATCCTAAACACTTGAACGTAACTTGTTTATACAGAGAATGACAGGACCTCAAAGACAAAAACTCTGCGTCTCTTAGTGACCGCATTGGAAAGGCCAGCGCGCCCCCTAGTGGCGTGAAGAGACACACAGCTCCTTTTCCCCCTTTCCCACTTCAGGGTTCTTTCAAGATGCCGCAGACCCATTTTGTGGTGCTTTTTCCACATCCCTATGATGTGGGGATGTTGATCCTATTTACAGATCTGCAGTAGGTTATGGCTATCAGGGGTTTCCGTTTATTTCATACGGTTTTCCCAACATCACATATAAGAACTTTGCATCTGACATCACAGGCATAGAGGCGGCCTTCACTCTGAAGCAGGGGTTCTTAACCAGAGTGTGCATAAAATCACTTGGAGGGCTTGTTAAACATAGGATCCCAGGCCCACCCCTGTTTCTGGTTTAGTCTGTATAGGACAGAGCTCGAGTTAGTATTCCTAATAAGATCCGAGGGGACACTGATCCAGGGACCACACTTTGAAAACCACAGTCTAGAAAGGCAGTTTGAATTAAAAATATTTCCAGATTCAAATGGGTGGGTGTTAAGGCTTATCTATTAATTAGTTAGGCAAAGATATAAAAGGTTTTTCTAAAATAGCTTGCTCACCCAAATGTCTCTGTGATTGATTACTGGCCCCTGGGGAAATGCAAGGCCTAATTTTAAACCCTGCACCAGAAAACAGAACTTCTCTGTTTTTATTCAAATCAATGAAGCCTCTTATTTTATTCTAGTAAATTCTGCAAAGAAAAGTCAGATAGGCTCTAGCTGGTTTGGCACATTGGTTGGAGTAAGGGCCCTCAGACTGAAGGTTCGATTCCTGTTAAGGGCAGGTACATCAGTTGCACTCTCCATCCCTTGCCCTGAGTGCCTGCAGGAGGCAACCAATCGATGTGTCTCTCTCACATCCAAGTTTATCCCTCTTTGTTTCTCCCCCTTCCTTCCACTCTCTCTAAAAATCAATGGAAAAAGTACCACTGGGTGAGGATTAAGAAACAAAAGGAAAGAAAAGTCAGGTAAAAATCATTGAAGTCTGCCTGCCTCAATGGAGCAGTAAATCAAGGTACTTAGACCCAGCAATGTCAGAATCCCCCAGACAAAGGAGGTGGTGAATTTAGCAGGTGAGAAAAAAAATACCTTCATTGGTTATTAAATCTTTTGAGGGCAGAAAAGAAAGAAGGCAAAGAAAGGGGTGCTGTAGTCTCAGTCTGGGTGTATACAAATGATGATCCCTAGATACACAAATAGGTAAGGCAGAATCATGGCGGGGAGGGAGAAAAGAAATAAACAGAGGGAGAGATATGGATGGGGGAGCAGCAGGAGGAAGGAGGGAGAGAGAAGGACAGGTGAACAAAGAAAGATAAAGAGGAGGAAGGGAGAGAGGAAATGGGGGAGAAAGGGTAGGAGGAATGGAAGAAGATAGTGGAGAGAGGTAGGAAGAGAAGAGGAGCGAGGGAGAGACAGAGAGATCTAGAGGGGAGGAATCCAAAAAATATCTCAAGAGTTTACTGTCCCAAAGTTAGCAAAGCAGCCTTTGAAGCTGGGCTGCTGTCCTCTGAGGCCACAGTTATCTCACGGAGTCTCCAATGCCAGGCACTGGTTGAAAGGGGAACGTACTTCTGTTTTACTTGGCTTCTGCTTGGATTCTGGGAAAGTAAGAGCATTCTCTAGCTGTGCATGCTCAAAGTTTCTGAACTGCTGCAGCAACTTCTAGAGAATTTAGGGAGAATAAGAGTTAACAGTTTAGAAAGTGGGAAAAATCTTCAGGCCCATAGAATATGCCACTGTGCTATATAAATAGAATTAATACTTTCTTCCTGAAAGACAAACTCTCTCCTTTATTAATTACTTTGTATCAAGGTGATTAATTCAAAACAGGCCCCAACTTATTTAGAATGGAAATATATTTTAATATATTTTATCGCAGCGGAAATACATTTTACCAAACCTGCTTCTATGAAACACTATCTGAGCAAGGAAAAACACTACAGACATAGACAGTGGGCCAGGGACAGCCACAGCATAGTTGTCACAATCATCTGGGAAAAAGAAAAGTCCTGGAAGTCCTTTTGGAGTTCAGAGCGTCCTGAGTCCACAGCAATCCAACTAATAAATATTCAGCTCCCAGTTCCTAGGGGACCTGTCCATCCCGGGCCTGAGTCACCAGTCCTGTTGGCATAAGTTTGTGCAAAAGACCAGGGGATGTCTGAAAAGCAGCTGGGAGGCCAGTGCCCTCAACAGTGCTCCTTCCGGAAGGCTCCATCCTGCCCTTTCAGCCTTGGAGCGGCTGTCTCACAGATAAGAAGACACCCAAGGGGCCTTGGCTAGAGCCCAGCAGAGACTTCACTCCCCAGAAAGTGCACATCACCTCCCAGGACTTTGAATTTGACTGAGTGTGAGCCCCAGGACATGTGGAAGGAAGACCTTTTCCTCTCTCCCCTGGTACTCTGTAGGGTTGCCCTTTCATCTTTTTCTCCCGAAAGGAAGCTCTTGTCTACAGAGAAAGTTTAGTTTATCTCCCACTTCACCCTCTTATTTATACCCCCACCCCGCAGTCACTGGGATCTCTAGCCATTGTCATTTGCACTTTATCCAGGATCTCCCCACTCCCATTTCTTTCTTTCTTTTTTTAAAACATATTTTATTGATTTATTTACAGAGAGGAAGAGAGAGGGATAGAGAGTTAGAAACATCGATGAGAGGGAATCATTGATTAGCTGCCTCCTGCACACCCCCCACTGGGGATGTGCCCGCAACCAACGTACATGCCCTTGACCAGAATCGAACCTGGGACTTTTCAGTCCAAAGGCCA